TTCTATTAGAACTCCCCTGGAAACTATCATGGCTAATGGGAAGACAGTGGTAGAGGGCTGGGGTGGGTTCTCTGGAGCCCAAGCTATTGCAGGTGTACAGGCCCTTCAGTAAGAAGGCCAGGGGTTCTCTCAGGTCCCTTGAGATCTGCCAAATTTAGTGATAGATTCTGTGGTCTTTTCTATACCATTCAATAAGAGTAAATGCAGAGTACTTCATCTGGGTAGACGTAACCAGTGACATGGATATGGGTTAGAAAGAGATGTCCTGGCCAGCACAATGGCTGAATGGGACCTCGGGGTTATGGTTGATCACAGGATGAACACAAGCCACCGGTGCAATACTATAGTCAGCAAAGCTAATAGAATACTGGGATTCTTCTACTTCCTATCTACTTAATGTTGGTGAGACCCCAGCTGGAGTACTGTGTGCAGATCCGGGCATTGCACTTCAGAAAAGATGTGGAGAATCTTGAAAGGGTCCAGAGAAGGGACACAAGAATGATTAAGGGCCTGGACAAGAAACATTATGAGGCAAGACTAAGGGATCTGGGACTGTTCAGCCTAGGGAAAAGAAGACTGAGGGGGAACTTGGTGGTCATCTATAAGTATGTAAGTGGTGAATATTGGGAGCTGGGAGAAAATCTGTTCACTAGGGCGCCCCAGGGGAGGACAAGGACCAATGGCCATAAACTGTTAGAGGATGGCTTCAGGTTGGATGTAAGAACTTCTTTAAGGTAAGGGTGACCAGAATCTGAAATACACTTCTCAAGGAGGTAGTGCAGTCCCCAAGCTTGGAAGTCTTCAAATGGAGACTGGATAGACATCTTGCTGGGATCATTTGATCTCAGCAATTTTCCTTATCAGAGCAGGGGGTTGGACTCAATGATTTTTTAAGGTCCCTTCCAGCCCTCAATTTCTATGATTCTGTGATAGATTCTGTCACTCTAAGCAAGACACTGTGAAAGGATCTCCATCCCCCTGAAGGAGTGACAACACAACAGAATCACCTGGCACAAAGTTAACAACAATGTTATACAGAGTCAGATTGCTATTAAGTTGTTGATTTTTTGTAGCGAAGTCTCACTCTGGTCAAGAACAGCCAAGAGCAGGGCACAGTAGTCTCATCTGTCTTCTGGTTTTAATTCCACCAACTAGCTTTTTCTTGGTTTGCGACCTGTGGAATCTGTGTTGTCAGTTTCTTACACAACATCTGTGTGAGATAGGAAAGGCATATAAAATATATTTTACAAAAGAGGAAATATGAAGGTCAAGATCCTGCAACCTTCACTCACATTGAAGAGTTTCTGAAGAGCCCTATCTACTCCCTTTAGGAGTAAGGTGTTATTCAGCCTGTGGAAGGTGGCAGAATCAAGGTCTAGTGACTTGCCCTACGTCACACATGAAGCCTGCAGCAGTAAACCCTTGAATCAGACTAAGATTTTTTGACTCCGGTACCTTTCCCCTTGATAAAATTATGACTCAGTGGAGAAAGAAAAAGTAATAGAACACCGCCCATTTGTTTTGGGGTGACATAGAAAGTTTGTGATGGTTGTTTTAGTGGCTTATGTGAAATCTGATGGTGGTCTTAGTTTTGTTCCTCATACCCAATGACCTTCTGGGCCTGTCTTCACAAAGAAGATTACGTATTGCCAACAATGATTGTAAACAATACTTTCCTTCCTTGTACAGTTAAACTGATGTGAAAGATTGTTTAGCTTTTAACACAGAATAAAATTCATGTGACATGGTGGAACATTGTGCCTGACACTTTATGGAACCATATCAACTGTTTTTTCCTGTCTACACGTTTTAAATATCATTTGGTTATGACCCCAGGGACTCCAGTTGCTTATCATCACTGTCAGCAATGGGTCATTTTCCTTGTGTAATCATTGTAATGAAGATAAAGACTGAATTGGCATGCTGGCTGAATTAACTTCTGCTGCTAGAACTAGTTTCTTGTTAAAGGGCTGTGACCGTTTAGCAGGAGGAAGCATGATATGCTGCTGCCCATGTCGTGTACTATAGAAAAATGCTGGCAATACCAGGCAAAAAACAGACAACCAGCTTGGTGAGAGACATACTGGGTTGGTCTCTGACTCGCACCAAAACAGGCCTAGTCCAGCTGTTTACACAAAAGGCTTAAATGGCAATTAAGTTGAATGGGCTGTGAAGTTGTTCCAAGGCAAAGTGTTAACTCGAGTAATTTACAGGTGCTTAATGTAGGACTGTCTGTAAGGTCTGGCTTCCGTGCAGCTCAAAATGCTCCGGTATGAATCAAACTGCTTGTCTGTATGTAGCCCCAGATTCAAATTTACAACAAGCCCCTTTATACCATTCTTGCGGGGTTAAAGGGCCTTAGAGTGGGCATAAATCAGTGATTCTTAACCGGGTGCTACAGCAACTTTGGGGTGCCTTGAGATCCTTTTAAGCATGCTGCAAGGTGCTGCAAGGTGTTATCAGGTGAATGTGATTCACAAGATAAACCCCAAGATTTCAAATAGAAATCTATAGTTCTGAGGTCTTTGCAACAGAAAGCTCTTATTACTTTTCTGTAGGCAAAAAAAGAGTAAAATCTAAGAGCTGACATTTTCCAAGGGGTGCCTCCGGTCTGTCCAAGGGTCCCTCAAGTCTATCCAGGGATGCCTCATGTCTAAAAAAGTTAAGAACCAGTGGTGTGAATTTAGGCTCCTTTAAAGTGTCAGCAGTGTAAAAAGACTGCAGGTATAAATTAAATTTAACCCCTAGGTTCTACAGCTGCTTACAGATGTGGGGAAAAAAAACTTTAAGAGGAAGCATGTCAGTTTGACCCGGTTTGCCCAACGTCTATATAGATTGTGCACTTCAGCAGGACTTTTGTGCATTTTTATCTAAAGTTGACTCAATTCAGCTATTAAAGTGCCAGAAAGCTTCACTGAAGCCTGTAGTCTACACAGACGTTGAGCGAGCTGCGTCAAATTAACACGATGGCTCTTCTGGGTATGCAGTGCACTTGGTGTGGGGGCACACCAAGCTGAAAATAAAGTGCTGTTTTGTTTGGTTTGTTTTTTCACAGCTGTAAGCAGCCTAGGTGATCAGCCTGACCCCTTTATGATACTGAAGTTAGCTTGAAGGAAACAATCTGGGTCATTAATTTATGTCTATTATCTTAAATGTACACCACTGTATGGTTTTAATCTTTTTCTCATTCCCATTCAAAAATTAAAGCACACCAGAGGAAGAAAAGGAAAACCCCAAGGACATTTCATCTTCTTTCTCCCACACAAAGCTACTTTCCAAACAGTTCTTTAAAAATCTGCTAAGGATGAAGAAATACTATTGGAAAGAATTTGGCTAGGTGTCATTAAATTTTAGGTTCCTAGGAGCCATGCTGTGGCACTGATATTTAGATGGAGAGCTCCATTAGTTATCAGTGAGGTGTTCTGCTTAAAAATGATGTTGCAATATAGCCATTGGGTCTTATTAAATTAAAATGTAAACAAGAATGAGTGAAACATTTGATCAAGGACATGCTGGAGGCAGCACATTTTTTAGAATCCAGTGTTCTGTCTGTAGCTGTTCACACTAATGCTTGGAGGATATAAAATCCAATCAACTAAGAATGGTGTGGTACATTGGTGAATCTACTTTTTAGTGTTTTGTTTTGGATAGCTTAACCACTTAGAATGAATATGGATGAAAATCACCTCAAGTGTCATTTGGTTTGAATAATTAAATTACAGATTATTCCTATTCTGTACATAGAAAAGTTGTCTCTACTATACATTTCATAATACATCCTCTGTGATTAATGTTCAAGACTAAACTGTGTATATGAGAGATGCTATACTGATTATTGTTATTACTGTAAGTCTTAAGCTTGATGACATTAATGAAAGATATAAATAGATTGGGATATTTTATTCACAAATACATACTTACTGTCTGCTACCTACAATGTGAACATTGTTAAAGTCTGATTTTGACCATAAATGAGCACCAGGTATAAATGGTCACATAAGACTTGTACAAGTCAGACTCCACAGAAAGGTTGTTTTTTTTTAATGCTAAATATTGCTGCCAGATTTTTATGGCACTTGTTTTAAATCAAATAATGTTTTCCCACTTTATGAGATTAAATGCTGTAATTCCTTCAAATGTGTGCAGTTTCATATACGTTAGAGCCAGAGATGATACATCTTTTTAGCACTGTTTATTTTTGTACAAAAAACCCCACAAATTTGAAAGGAAGTCATAATTTTCATTTGATTGCACATTTTAAACAAAAATAATACAAAGTATAGCATGTACAAGGCATTTTTTTAAAGTTACTTGCAAAATAACATCCAAAACTGTTGATGTCCAAATGTACCAAGAATACTAAAAACATCTATTTTACATTATCTACAAAATGTGTGGTATATCCTAATCCAGCGACAAATCATAGCAAAATACTTTGATACATGAAAGAGCTATAAAATATAAGATGCACATTTAAAAAAAAAAAAAAAAAAAAAAAAAAAAAAAA